TGGGGCCACATGGGGTGGCCATCTTTGATCACATGGGGGCAGCCATCTTGTGTGTTGGGAGTGATGGTCAATTTGCATACTGGTTGTGACTAATTAGCATATCCCTCTCTTATTATTGTGTTGGAGTGATGGTCAATCTGCATACTGGTCACGACGAATTAGTATATCTGGTCGCAGTTAATTAGTATATCTGGGCTAATTTGCATACCCCTCTCTTATTATATAGAATAACTATGTAACAAAAATTAAGGCACATAATTCCTTTGCCCCGATCATACCTCACAAGCCATTATAACTATCAATTCAATTTAATTTAAATTCAACTCCATTGATATTTATTAATAGTCTGTTATTATATGGCAAGTAATCTTTTCGGTGCTATCAACATTTCAAAAATGTGTAGAACACATTCTCACCTCTGAAGAAGTTTATATTCTTATTTATATGTTTCATAGTAAAATAATTCTGGTTACTAAAACAAAGGCCAAAAAAACTAGCCAATCTCATGCAAGAAATCTTTTGTCTCCCACCTGAATGATAACTGATGCCTGTCTCAGATGGAGAAAATGCTGCCTGCACAGCAAGACCCTAAACCATCGTTGTAACAATATTATTCTGCGGAGCACCTCTTGGTGAAGCAGATCTTGTAGGTGCTGTCGTTCCTGTTCCTTTAGGAACACCTACCAAAAAGAAGAAAGATGAGAAATACAGTTTAAGAAGAAATGAGAAATTTAGTTCATGAATCATCCCTTCTGTAATTAGCCTTTTTAGAGAAGAACAAATACAGTGGCAGATTAATAAAAGCAGTACTGATAAATATTTCTACAATTTATCCAAAGTGGTCATTCTCAAAATGTAAATAAAACATTAGGATATAGAAGGGGAAATGGGAAGGTGCACATGTGTACAAAAATTCCAGTGCAAGATGTTATGATACACTAGAGGCCTGGTGCACAGATTCGTGCACATGGAAAGGAAATTAATTAGAAGGTGGCCAGTGGGGTGGGACTGGGTGAAAGGGGACAGACATGCCCTGGAGCCAACCTCCCATGGTCCCTCCCTGGCCGGCCACACCTGGGGTGGCGCCGGGGCTTGCAGGGCATCTGCCAAGTGAGCAGGGTCCCTCCAGCAGGTGGGGTCCCTCAGCCTGGCCTGTAGGGATTGGGCTGAAACCAGCAATCCGACATCCCCTAAGGCAGCAGTTCTCAACCTGTGGGTCGCGACCCCTTTTGGGGTCGAACGACCCTTTCACCGGGCTCTAAAAAGTAGGTGTTATTATCTTCTCAGGAAACTGAGGGGTAAAGGGCATTATTATATAACTAGAGGCCTGGTGCACGGATTCGTGCACAGAGAAAGGAAATTAATTTGGTGGCGGCCAGCAGGGTGGGACTGGGCGAGATGGGCTGGGCACACCCTAGAGCCAACCTTCAGCAATTCCTTCCCAGTGTCTGCAGAGTGAGCAAGGTCCCTCTGGCAGGTAGGGTCCCTCAGCCTGGCCTGTGGGGATCAGACCGAAACCGGCCATCCGACATCCTGCAAGGGGTCTGGGAGTGCAAGAGGGCTCTCTGCAAAGTTGCTGTCACTCAGCAGCTCCTGTGTTGAGCATCTGCCCACTGGTGGTCAGTGTGCATCATATCTACCGGCCGGTCGCTTAGCCTTTTACATATACACTGAGTGGCCAGATTATTATGACTGGCCAGATTATATGACCACCCCATCAGTACTTCGTTGGGCCACCTTTTGCCTTCAATACTGCAGCGATTCTTCTTGGCATTGACTCCACGAGATGCTGAAAGGTGATGCGAGGAATCTGACACTATGCCTGATGAAAAGCAATGCCCAGTTCTGTGAAATTTGATGGTTGTGGAACCAGCTGTCTAATGACTCTTTTAACTTCGTCCCACAAATGCTCTACTGGATTGAGATCTGGTGATTGTGGGGGCCATCTAAGCAAGGTAAAGTCTCCCTCATGTTCTTGAAACCACTCCTGCATAATACGAGCACCGTGGCATGGCGCATTGTCTTGTTGGAAGAAGCCATCTCCATGGGGATACGCCATCAACATGATAGGATGAACCTGATCAGCAATGATACTTAGGTATGTTGTGCTATTGGGACGTTTATAATGGTCTGGCCCTCTAGCAACTTCAGCGTGAAATTATAGCTAATTTGCCTATAAGCGTCAGGTGGTCATAATAATCTGGCCACTCAATGTATATAGATTATTCCCTCGGGAAATTCACCAACATCATAAGCCAATGTACTGCTAGTAGTATGTCCTATTTCTATTGATTTTTTTTTTTAAGGGAGAGGAATGGAAAGAGAGAGAGAGAAACATTGATGTGAGAGAGAAACATCAATTGGTTGTCTCCCACACATGCCCTAACTGGGGATCAAACCTGCAACCTGGGTATGTGCCCTTGAATGGAATTGAACCAGGACCTTTCAATCTGCAGGCTGATGCTCTATCAACTGAGCCAAACTGGCTAGAGCTAGAAAATTATGTTTTTTACAAAACATTATCATAGGCAAAGATTGTCATTATTATTTAAACACAAAAATACACTCAATTTTGACAATATATATTTACCATAGATTTTCCAACTTGATAATTATTTGGATTAATATTTATTTTCCTGAAGAAATCCTGAATGTAAAATTTAGATGGAATAATATTTCGAGGAAGAAGTACATGGAAGTGGCTCACAAAATCCTGAAAAAATGAAAAGAAAATGTTATAAGGCCACAAAAGAATGACATGAAAATGTTATAAAGCTACAAGATCCTAAACTTTAGCTAACTATCCTTTTATTGATCCATTTCTCATTCTTTTCAATATGGTGAAACCAAGGAAGTACTTGTTAACAAAGTACTACCGAAGGTTAACTTATAAAATGGAAGGAGGTGTAGTGAGTTCAACAGAGTATTTTGTTATCAAAGGGAAGCGGGAAAAGAAACCAAGAGCAGAAACTAATCATCCCTTTTGAGAAAGCTGTATTAAAAAAACAAAGAAAAAGTTATATAACAATAATCAGAAACTTTTAGCAAAATTTAGAAAAATAAGCAAAGTATAGTTATTACAGGATATAACTGAGAATGAAGCTTTCCCTCCAAGTAACAATAAAACTTGCTAAGCTGCTGGAAAGCTTCAATATACTTATTCTACCCAGAGTAGCAACTGATGAGAATAAGCATGAGTCTTGCTGGCAGCTTCCTATAAAAGAAAATCCTGCTGAGAAAACTCTAGCAAAAATCAAATGGAATCTTTTCTTTTAAACTAGACAGTTCTGATTGAATTATTTTAATGTGAAGACTTGCAATACATGTGAAGAATTGCTATGCTGCGAGTAAATTTAGTATTTACTCATAAGAGTATGAAGAACTGCTATGCTATGAGTACATTAAGTGTGAAGCAATCAGTGTGAAGAACTGCTATGTTATGAGTAAATTTAGTATCAGGAAACATTCAGATCAAATGAGAATAGCCAAGTACTGGATTCTCTTAAAACACAAGCTTAATAAGACTGGTGCCATTCAATGGAAGTGAGTACTCATTACCTGGTTAATTCTGTGTACGGAAGATGGAATGGAAAGGAAGAATTAAGAGAAATAAGCCCCAAATAAAAAATAAGCAAGACAGGAAGAATTTACTTGATATGCATATATTAAAGATCACTGTAAAAGTATAACCTGGAAAGAGTATTTGCAGCTGTATCCTGATTGGCGAATTCGAACTGTCTCCAGCATCCCAGTATACCGAAGCTGCCTAAGTACCAAGGCATCATTGAACCTTAATGGCAGCTAAAACAAAGCAATAGAAAAAAAAAAACATCAACCTAGAAGAATAGATCTCCAAATTAATGTTTGTCTTACAAATATGAATAACTTTTGAATATCTAGGAACTGACTTGAAGCTTGTCTGGTTAAGATATAGTGAAGTGACAGGACAATCTTCCTTCCCCAGCTGGTAGCTTCAAAAAAGTTCTGACTACCTGACCCTAGGGAATATGAGGAACCACGTTTCCAGACTTCTCTAGCTGTAGTTCAAAAGCAATATAGTTACCCACAGGAGTCTATATAAAATACATAACAAACCTAACCTACTTAAATATAGTCAGGAGTGTCTGCATTTTTGTTTTTAATTATGATTGTATCTATAATTTCACTCAGAAACTACCTGCCCTACTTTACCAGTTACCGTGGTTAACCGAGAGCTGACAGATTCTTCTTCTAATGACTAGTACAAGGTTAAGAGTAGTTTATTTCCCGAAATACTTTTGCTGATAATACTGGTATGACACACTGAAAAACAAAAAATTCCTCCAGTACCTGACAACTGATTTCATTGTAAAGGCATTGATAGGGAAGCAGCTAGTAGTCACAATGCCCTGAAACTCCTAGGTGTCTCTGTAGGCACATTTTCAGACATTCAAAACAATATGCATTTGGAGCTTCTGATATTTCTCCCTATTCATTCTAAATACTATTTTCAATGATTCCCTAAAGCAATCCTAATCCTAAACATTTTCCTTCAGACAGATGGAGCATACCAGCTGTCAAGGAAATAAGGTCAATGGGCAACTTATGTTAAATAATAATAATAATAATAATAATAATAATAATAGTTGACATTTATTTAGTACTTATTCTATACCCTGAACTACTTCATTAATTGAACTCTTTGTATAGCAAGGTCTCATTTAATAACAGGGACTCAAACTTCTATTTAATTATAAATAAAATCATTTCTTTTTTAGCCACTATAAAAGAATAATGACATTTACTAACCACTTAGTATGGGCTGGGAACACTCTAAGTATATTACCAGTATTAACTCACACATACTCACAAAACACTATGAGGTCCTACAAATACAATATATTCTTACATGGATGAAAATATTTAAACTACAGAAAGGAAAACTTGTCTTCTTTACCCACAAAGCTTATGTATAACCAAGTTAGAGACTGCTTCTTAAGAATTACGAAAGCTGAACATAATTCTTACACAGTTTAGATGTTCAGCCTGGGAACTATTTTTTCCTATGATGAACATAATGAAAGATGACAAATGTTTACACTTTTTAGATATATTTTGCAAATTCCTAATTAGGGGATCTGTTATAGAAAATAGAAAGTAATCAAGAATGCCTGTATCTTCCCTCTTTTACAAAGACAAGAATCTCTAAACATGAAAAATGCCTGGCATATTCTTTAAGAGTGACAATGTATATCCAAACAAGAGGGATTAATCTCTGGGTAATAAAAGTTGCATAAAACTTTTATTATGGAATTTCAAGAGATATTTGCTTCTCAAAATCCTTGTAGATATTAAATCAATACCATGTAAACACCTTACAGGCAAGTAGGTGTAAACACAAGAAAAATATCCATAGAAACTATAAAATGCTGTTTTCCTTAAAAAATATTATAGACTAGAGGCCCGGTGAACAAAAATTTGTGCACTTGGGGGGTCCCTCAGCCCGGCCTGTGCCCTCTTGCAGTCTGGGACCCCTTGGGGGATGTCCACCTGCTGGCTTAGGTCCGCTCCCGGGGAACCTGAATATCCTTAGTGCTACTGAGGAGGCGGGAGAGGTTCCCGCCACCACCACTGTGTTGGCAGCCATCAGCCTGGCTTGTGGCTGAGCAGAGCTCCCCCTGTGGGAGCACACAGACCACCAGGGGGCAGCTCTTGCATTGAGCATCTGTCCCCTGGTGGTCAGTGTGTGTCATAGAGACCAGTCATTCCCAGTGGTTCCAGTATTAACTGTGCCCTCTCTTTATTATATAGACCAGAGGCCCGGTGCACAAAAATTTGTGCACTCGGGGGGGAGGAGGGTCCCTCAGCCCAGCCTGTGCCCTCTCGCAGTCTGGGATCCCTCGGGAGATAACAACTGCTGGCTTAGGCCTGCTTCTGGGTGGCAGAGGGCAGGCCCAATCCCTAGGTGCAGCCCCTGGTCGGGCTCAGAGCAGGGCCGATTGGGGAGTTGGGGCGCCGCCCCCTGTCATGCACAGAGCGGGTGCCACACCCTGTCACACACACAGTCATAGGGCGATCAGGGGTTTGGGGAGCTCCCCCCTATTAGGCACCGAGCAGGGCTGATCAGGGGGTTGGGGCGCCTTCCCCTGTCACGAACAGAGCAGGGTGGATAGGGAGGTTGTGGCCCCACCCCGTCACACACAGAGCCGCAGGGCGATCAGGGGGTTTGGGCGCTGCCCCCTGTCACACTGATCCCGGTGCCAGGAGGCCTTGTGGCTCTGCTGATCTGGGTGCTGGGAGGCATATTACCCTTTTACTATATAGGGTAGAGGCCTGGTGCATGGGTGGGGCCGGCTGGTTTTCCCTGAAGGGTGTCCTGGATCAGGGTGGGAGTCCGCACTGGGGTGCCTGGCCAGCCTGGGTGAGGGGCTGAGGGCTGTTTTCAGGCTGGCCACACCCGCTTCAGGGAGGAGGTTCCCACTGGGGTACCTGGCCCGTCTGGGTGAGTGGCTGATGGCTGTTTGCAGCTGGCCACAGCCCCTTCAGGGTTGGGGTCCCACTGGGGTGCCTGGCCAGCCTGGGTGAGGGGCTGAGGGCTGTTTTCAGGCTGGCCACACCCGCTTCAGGGAGGAGGTTCCCACTGGGGTACCTGGCCCGTCTGGGTGAGTGGCTGATGGCTGTTTGCAGGCTGGCCACAGCCCCTTCAGGGTTGGGGTCCCACTGGGGTGCCTGGCCAGCCTGGGTGAGGGGCTGAGGGCTGTTTTCAGGCTGGCCACACCCGCTTCAGGGAGGAGGTTCCCACTGGGGTACCTGGCCCGTCTGGGTGAGTGGCTGATGGCTGTTTGCAGGCTGGCCACAGCCCCTTCAGGGTTGGGGTCCCACTGGGGTGCCTGGCCAGCCTGGGTGAGGGGCTGAGGGCTGTTTTCAGGCTGGCCACAGTCCCTTCAGGGTGGAGGTCCCCACTGGGGTGCCTGGCATGCCTGGGTGAGGGGCTGATGGCTGTTTGCAGGCTGACCCAGCTCCCCAGTGGAGACCCTCACCCCATGGGGGCGTGGCCAGCCTGGGTAAGGGGCTGAGGGCTGTTTTCAGGCTGGCCACAGTCCCTTCTGGGTGGAGGTCCCCACTGGGGTGCCTGGCATGCCTGGGTGAGGGGCTGATGGCTGTTTGCAGGCTGACCCAGCTCCCCAGTGGAGACCCTCCCCCCATGGGGGCGTGGCCAGCCTGGGTGAGTGGCTGATGGCTGTTTGCAGGCTGGCCACAGCCCCTTCAGGGTTGGGGTCCCACTGGGGTGCCTGGCCAGCCTGGGTGAGGGGCTAATGGCTGTTTTCAAGCTGGCCACAGCCCCTTCAGTGAAGAGGGCCCTACTGGGAGGCATGGCCATCTTGGGTAAGGGGCTGAGGGCCGTTTTCAGGTGTGCCACGGCCGTAGGCTGGAAGCAGGTATCTGGGATTTATTTATCTTCTATAAGTGAAACTTTATAGCCTTGAGCGGAGCTCAGGGCCTGCAGGGCAGGTGGGAAGCTTGGCTTCCTCCATTGCTGGGGGCAACCCAAGCCTCCTGCTCGTTCCATGGCCGCTGCCATCTTAGTTGGGTTAATTTGAATACTCGCTCCTGATTGGTGGGTGGGCGTAGCTTGTGGGTGTGGGTTGTGGGTGTAACAGAGGTATGGTCAATTTGCATGTTTCTCTTTTATTAGGTTAGATCGCTCTTTCTATACACTTGCTCTTCTTAGAAAGAATTTAAAGCTTGGTTTGAAGTAAGCTGAGCGAGTTCTCATGTACGGACATTTTTACCTTTTCTGCATTAGAGCGAATGCATTTTACAAAATATGGTTCTGCTTGACCAAGTGTCTCCATCAGCTTGTTTAATGAGGCCTGTGATACAAAACAATAACATAATGAGAATTTTCTTCCATCCCACATTGGAAGCAATTTATAAATATAAACAATAATGTTGTTAAAATATGCAAAAATGAGTGGTATACAAAGAAATAGGTTTATTTCTGAAAAGCCCAATGACCATTACAGCATGGCTTTTTAGTCACGTCAACCATATCCCATTCAGGTTATCTTGCCAATCATTTTGACTTTTCAGTATCAATCTGAAGGAAACAGATTCCTCTTCATTAAAAGTAAAATAAGAACTAACCTGAAACTGAGCACTGATGCTGGGAGGTTTCTTCTTCTTGTGCAAATGAAGGAGGGATTTGGTAATGCGATCCTGCAGAGTCAGTCTTGTCAGGTGCTTTAAAGAATTTACCTCCAGCAAGTGCTAAAAAGAAACGGGGGAGAGGGGGAGATCAAATTCTTCTTAAATTAATCTAAGAATAGGGAACACAAAATTGTCAGCCCATTTTCATCATTTCCTATGTATAATGACTATGGTGAATATGGGAGATTGATATTCAACATCCATCTTACCTTCCTCCTGCTTTCCTGCAGAAGCTTTCCAGCTAAAAAGAAAACTACTTTTCCCAAATTCTCTTTCATCTCAGGTTCAGAAAGTGATTTAAGTTCAACAATTGAATTTCCACACATGAAACTGGGAAAGTATAATGAGGCAGAGGCTTTGGCTAGTAGCTTCTGTTTCTGCTGGCAAGCGTGTACATAATAAGTGCTTCAGTTTTCTGGCCAGGTACTACTTTTTTGAGTGCTGAGAGACAGAGTGTATTGTCACTGCAACTCTAATAAAGGCACTTGAGCCCTGGAGCCAATAGCTTTAGCAGCTTCTCCAGCAGCTACAACTTTCTGATTGCAGCTCAGGTCAGTTCTGCATTGTTATTTTACTAGTCTGAAACTAAGACTTCTAGCGCTTTTCTAAGTGCCTCTCTGAATTAAGTCCTTTTCTATATAAAAATGTCTACAATAACTACTGTTATCTGCAACAGAATCCCAACTCACAGAGACAAATTAAATTCAATCCCAGGCTATATCAGATATGCCATGAACACACAAAAGAGAAACTCCCTATTAACAGTCATCCTGATGTGCTAATTATTAATCTTAAGATCCAAAATACACATAAGCAATTAAAGAATGTAAAATAAAATATTAATAAAGTATGTGGGAGCTTTTCAGCCCATCAAAAAGTATAGGGTGTATCAAAAAAAATGTATACACACTTTGAATAATTATTAATTCCAATGGGTTAAATCTCAAAAGAAACAGCAATTGAGCTATCAGCTGTTAAAGTGTATATATTTTTTGGGGGGGACACCTTGTATATGGCAGTGACTTTGTTAATGAAAAGAATATATCTATACAGATGTGTAACTAATAATGTTGCAGGCTCGATCCCCAGCAGGGGGTGTGCAGGAGGCAGTGTATCATTGATTCCACTCTCACATCAATGTTTCTTTCTCTCTCCCTCTCCCTTCCTCTCTTTCTGAAAAATCAGTGAAAGTAAGGAAAACTTTTTAAATATAAATGTTGACAATATAAACATTAAAAAACAACAACTTTCAAGCGAGAAAAATGTTTCCAACAAATATAATGACTCATTATCTGTATATAAAAACTGTCAGAAATCCTTTAAAAATTTACAAAATATAAATGGCAACATAATGACAATCATTCAATTTCACTTGTAAGAAAAGAAACAATTTCTTTTAAAGATATTTTCTGCATGTCAGATTGGCAAACATAATAAAGACTTACAAAACCCAACATTCATGCAGATGTGGGGAAATTGGCTTATATATGCACTGTTCTTAGGAATGCAAATCAGTATAACCTTCCTGATAAGCAATGTCATTCTCAGGTATTTAAGGAGAATGTCAGATAAGATCTGAATGCTATTTATGACAATGTACTTCAAAAATAATAAAAAATTATGAACAGAGATGTGCATTTATATGGAACTTTTTTCATAAAGTATGTTTCATCCACACAACTGAGTACTATCATAGATCATAAAACAGAGGGAAAGTGGGGAGGGGGGGAGAGAGGAAGAAAGGGGTAAAGAAAAGGGTAAAAGGGGACCAAATGGAAACTTTACTTGGGATGGTGAGCACACAATACAATACATTATAGAATTATACACCTGAAACCATATAAATTTATTAGCCAATGTCACCCCAATAAATTCAATTTTTTAAAAAAACCTGTATTTCCTGACATGGAGAAATATGTGCAAATATTACTGACAAAAAATACCATGTAAAACAATAACATATGTATTTGCTTGGAATACTCTGAATCCAGATCTTCACATGGCTTGATTTTTCTTGTCATTCAACTACTAGCTTAAATGCCCAAAACATTCTCATGAAGTTCTTGCTTAACTACTCCAAAAGTCAACATGTCATTTCATTTTCCTCTTTGCACATATCATCTGCTTATCTTTTCATATATTTATTTACATTTTCTTCACTAGAAGATAAACTAAAGGAAAGCAAAGACTAGACTGTTCATCCCTGTACCCCTAATGCCTGTGTTCTGGTGCAGAGTAGGTATTCAAACTATTAGTTTTGATGAATGAATGGATGGATGGTTAGGAACTAATGATTTTTGAGCATTGTTTCCTTAGCAACTGGAGGCCAGACTTCTGCCCATAAAATCACCATGCTCAGATCAATGAACAACTATTCAGATTACTACAGATCAGGCTCTGTTCTAAGTGTCTGGAATACATTACATTTAAGTACAGGGAAACAGGCTACAAGGGCATTATAAAATAAATGATAACTTGAGGGTTATTAAGATTTATAAAGATAAAATAGGACAAGTGAAAAATGGGGAGACAAGGCAAAACAGAACAAGGTGGAAGGCAAGAGACTAAGGGGACAAGAGAGAGATGAATCCAGTTAAGTGACAGCTGCAATAGTCCAACATGATGTGACAGAAGCCACAAACTAGAATGCAGAACAGAGATCTAGTGGGGAAAAAAATATCGAGTTAATTTCTTTCTTAGATCTTCCATTCATTATCTACTTTATTCCTTTCTTAATTCCATTTTCATTGTTTGATTTATTCAGCTTAATTAATCAGTTATTTTTTAAAAACCTATTATTTAGTGCTTGCTGTACAAGGTGTAGAAACAAACATTAAAAAGATACTGCTTAGACATTATTTACAATAGGCAAGATATGAAAGGAATCCAAATGCCCATCAACAGACAAATGGATAAAGAAGAGTTGGTACATATATACAATGGAATGTTACTTAGCCATAAAAAAAAAAGTTAAATCTTGTCATTTGTGACAACTTGGATAGATCTAGAGCAGTGATGGCGAACCTTTTGAGCTCGGCGTGTCAGCATTTTGAAAAACCCTAACTTAACTCTGGTGCCATGTCACATATAGAAATTTTTTGATATTTGCAACCATAGTAAAACAAAGACTTTTTTAAATTGATATTTATTTTGTATATTTAAATGCCATTTAACAAAGAAAAATCAACCAAAAAAATGAGTTCGCATGTCACCTCTGACACGTGTGTCATAGGTTCACCATCACTGATCTAGAGGGTATTATGTTAAGTGAAATAAGTCAGAGAGAGAAAGACAAATATGGTATGATTTCACTTATATATAGAACCTAAGAAAACCAAAACAAAATAAAACAATAAACAAAACAGAAACAAACTCTAGAGCATTCTGATGGTTGCCAAAAGGTGGGTGGGGGAATAGATGAAAAAAATAAGGGATTAAGATAAATAAATTACCAGTTATAATTACAGTCACAGGGATGTAAAGTACAGCATAGGGATTATCATCAGTAATATTGTAATAACTATGTATGATGCCAGAAGGGTACTAGACTTATCAGGATAATCACTTCATAAGGTATCTAATCACTGTGTTGTATAGCTGAAACTAACATAATATTGTATGTCAACTGTAATTGAAATTAAATTAATCTATAAAAAGAAGATACTGCTCATGTTAAAGAAGACTAAAATTAACTTCATGTCTTGAGCCTGAGTGACTAAAAATTTAATAAGGAAATGACATACTAAAATCACTCTGGGCACCAAGAAAGAAAGATGAGCAGGAA